GTTTACATTATCACTTCATACAGATTCCAATATAACAAGAAGAAGCTTGTCTATTCTTAAAGAGGTCTATTACTTGTACAGAAATGTGCTAGGTTCTTGAACACAAGAAAATTCTAGCATCTTTCCTTCACTAAGATCAATAATAAATACATGATTGAGGTATGTAACAGGGAAAAACCTTTGTATTCTATTACAAGTTAACTACTAAAGGGTGCTGCCTATTAGCTTGAATACTTTCAGTATACTGAAAGGACCATCTCTGGGAACGCTGTTTCCCAGGTAAAGAGCATTAAGCTAAAATACCTTTGATTAGTCCAGAGGAAACATCCTAACCAAGCCCACCTGTGAATGGCTGCAGGAAGGAAGAAATTAACACAGCTCCTCTGCAGTCTGGCCATAACCAGAACTTTATTCCCTCCCCTTTTAGTACAAAAGACTGAATTCGAAGTTGGGGAAGGCCACTCTTTGAGACACTAGTCCATCTTCTCGGTCTCCTGGCTTTCCGAATAAAGTCACTATTCCTGGCCCCAACAACTGCTCTCTTGATTTACTGGCCTGTCATGTGGCAAGAAGTACAGGCTTGGACTCGGTAACAATTATACCTAGTGGTAATCTAAGTGTTGAATTGTCATTTTAGGAGAGGAAGTACAGTCAGTGCTAACTCAAAAGTGTTCAGTAGGGGAAGATGAGGATGGGGTAAATTCTAAGCCACTGAATTTATATTCCCTTTCTGTTTCCTCGAAATCTCTCCAAGCCAGACACCATCCATTCCTAATCCAGCCACCAGACCCACTTCAATCTTCTTTAGGGGATTACAAACAAATGTAACTCACCAGTTCAGCCTTGGTTCGCCCATGGCCATCATGGAGCTCATATTCCTAGATTTCTGCTTCACTCTAGTTCACAATTTTGCTGCCTGGCAGTAAGTGCAGGCTCCAGAGGGTACAGGATTTCTCTAGTATTTACACTCAACTGAGGAAACACAAAAGATCAAGATCAAAAGCAGGTGATTGGCTGGGCCAGGTATTGTTAACTGAGACAAGAACCTGTTCCTAACACCTACCTTCAATTGACAAGGGCACCTAAAAGAGAAAAAAGCGGACAGATGAATACTCCCAACGTCTTTGCAGCAGAACAGGGAAGCTGATGATCCTTAGTCCAGGAACGTCATTGACACTCACTGAAGAAATAGAAGCCCCAGAAGAACGGACGTGAGCTCCCCATCTCCTACCCCCTACCCCCGCCCCTCTTACTGCCAAAATAAATCTTTCTTCCGTTTTCCTAGCTATACACTGTTACGGGGCAGATTCCGGCAAATCACGCAGGGCAGAAGCTCTCTGGACATCAATAATCCTTCAGGAAGAATCTCACTTTTGAGGAGATTAAGGCCCAATAACTGACAATTCACAAGTTCACTTAGAGGAATCAGGACTACAAATCTGGCTCGCACATGAACCCCGCATGCTCAGTGTTTCTCCTGCCACCCCAGAAAGACAGATAGAGTGTGTGAGCAACCAGCAGTTAAGTGTAGGCGTCGTCTCTCAATACCTGACCTAACCCACCTCCCACACTTCCACCCAGTGTGGGGCTGGGACGGGAGAGCCGATGAAGGCAAAGGGATGGCTGAGGGAAAGGGGATGAAAGGAGAAACAATGCTCCAGAAAAGGAGGTAAAGCCGCGAGGAAAAAACCGCGGGAGGGGCCGCGCCAGCACCAGGAGCCGAGGGGCCCGGCCCGGCCCGGGGGCCGCCATGTTCCCTCCTCCCGCCGCTCAAGAGCGCGCCCGCCTGCGCTCCCT